GAGACAGAGTCTCACTCTGTCACCCAGGCTGGAGTGCAGTGGTGTTATCTCAGCTCACTGCAACCTCCACCTCCTGGGTTCAAGCAATTCTCCTTCTCAGCTTTCCAAGTAGCTGGGACTACAGGCGTACACCACCACATCCAGCTAATTTTTGTGTTTTTAGTAGAGATGGGGTTTCACCCTGTTGGCCAGGATAGCCTTGCTCTCTTGACCTTGTGATCTGCCCGCCTCAGCCTCCCAAAATGCTGGGATAACAGGTGTGAGCCACCATGCCTGGACCAAGAATTTCTTAAAGCAACAAACTTACAGAAATCTGATAAATGACTATTATCCAAAATATACAAAAAACTCTTAAAACTCAACAATAAGAACATAAACAATCCAATTTAAAAATGGACCAAAGCCTTTAATAGACACCTCACCAAAGAAAATATGCAGATGGTGAATAAGCATATGAAAAGATGCTCCATATCACAGGTAATTCAGAAACTGCAAATTAAAACTGTAATGAGGTCCACTATACACCAATTAGAATGACTAAAATCCAAAACACTGACAACAAGGATTGTTTAGCAAGGATGTAGGGCAACAGGAACTATTACTTTTTGCTATGGGAATGCAGAATGATATAGCCACTTTGGAAGACAGTTTGGTAGTTTCTTACAAAATGAAACATACTCTTAACCTGCGATTCAGCAGTCACAGTCCTGGGTATTTACCCAAGGATGATAAAAGCTTATGTCCACACAAAAACCTGCACATGGTTATTTGTAGCAGCTTTATTCACAACTGCCAAAACTTGAAAGCAACTAAATGTTCTTCAGGAGGTGAATGAATAAACTGTGCTACTTCCAAGCACTGGAATATTATTCAATACTAAAAAGAAATAAGTTATCAAGGCATGCAAAGACATGTAGGACACAAATGCATATTGCAAAGTAAAAGTGGCCAGTCTGAAAATGCTACAAGCTTTATGTTTCCAACTATATGACATTCTGGAAAATGCAAAACTATGGAGATAGTAGAAAGATCAGTGGTTACCAGGGTTTCATGAAAGAAGAGATGAATAGACAGAGCATACAGGATTTCTAGGGCAATGAACCTACTCTCTCATACTATAATGGTGAGTACATGCCATTATACATTTATCCAAATCCCTAGAATATAGAACACCAAGACTGAACCCCAATATAAACTAGGGGCTTTAAGTGATAATGATGTAGCAATGTAGGTTTGTCAATCAAACAAATGTACCACTCTGGTGGAGGATGTTGATAATGGGAAAGATTACCCATGTGTGAAGGTAGGGGGCATATGGGAAATCTCTGTACCTTCCTTTCAATTTTGTTGTAAATCTAAAACTGCTCTAAAAAATAATGTCTTTTTTAAAAAGCAGTTAGAGGTGGGGAAATACACATTACATACAAGGAACAATGACATGGATCACAGAGGATTTCCTATCAGAAACAATACAAAAAAGAAGACAGTGAGGCAACATTTGAAAGCGAAAGACAAAAACAAGAAAAAAAAAGAAAGAAAGAAAGTGACAAACAACAAGAACTATCAACATAGAATTCTATCCCCGGTGAAAATATCTTTCAAATTTGAAGGCAAAATAAAGACTTTTTGAAGATATACAAAAGCTGGCCGGGCACAGTGGTCTTACACCTGTAATCCCTTTGGGAGGCCAAGGCAGGTGGATCACTTGAGGTCAGAAGTTCGAGGCCAGCCTGGCCAAAATGCTGAAACCCCGTCTCTACTAAAAATTCAGAAATTAGCTGGGTGTCATGGTGGGCACCTGTAATTCCAGCTACTCAGGAGGCTGAGGCAGGAGAATCACTTGAACCTTGGAGGCGGAGGCTGCAATGAGCCGAGATTGCACCATTGCACTCCAGCCTGGGAAAAAGTGTGAACCCCCATCCAAAAAAAAAAAAAAAAAAGGATATACAAAAGCTGAAACAATTTATCACACATAGAATTGCAATACAAGAAATATTAAAAGAAGTCCTTTAGGCAGTAGGCAAATTATATGAGGAAATATGGATCTACACAAGGGAATGAAGAACACCAGAAATGAGTATATATAAGTAAATATACAAAGGTTTAAGAAAAATTTTTTAATTTTTTTAAATTTAATTCACTATTTAAATAAAATTAGGTCAGGTGTGGTAGCTCACACCTGTAATCCCAGCACTTTGGGAGGCCGAGGCAGGCGGATCACGAGGTCAAGAGATCGAGACCATCCTGGCCAACATGGTGAAACCTGTCTCTACTAAAAATACAAAAATTGGCTGGGCATGGTGGCACGCACCTGTAGTCTCAGCTACTCGGGAGGCTGAGGTAGGATAATTGCTTGAACCCAGGAGGCGGAGGTTGCAGTGAGCCGAGGTCTCACCATTGCATTCCAGCCTGGCTGCTGGTGATGGAGCGAGACTATGTCTCAAAAAAGAATAAATAAATAAAATAAAAAATAACAAAAATTTATAAATAAATAAATAAATAAAATCAAGACAATGTAGTGTGGAAGTTATAACACAGGTAAAAATAAAATATATTACTAAATAGCATAAATGCTGGAAGTGAAGCAATGGAAATGTATGATTATAAGGTTCTTACACTATATGTAAAGTGGTATAATATCACTGGAAGGCAGAAAGTCATGACTTAAAGATGTATATTATAACCCTAAAGCATCCACCAGAATGGCACAACTGAGCTTACAGCTAATAAAAAGAAGGTAAAATTGAATCATAAAAATATTCAGTTATTCTCTAAGAAGTCAGAAAAGGAAGAAATGGGGAAAAAACTGATGAGAAAAATAGAAAAAAGAAAACAATATGAATGACTTAAAATTGACCATATCAACGGGCAAAAATCAAAATGGGGAGAAAAATGGAGTGCAGATAGGCAAAACAAACTCAAAATAAACAAACAAAAAAGTTCTCAGTAATTGTATTATCCTGAGACTTTTGTGTGAATAATGTGGTCAAAGTAAATGAGTGATTATAGAATATTCTAATTCTATCATACCCTAAGTCCTTGAAAATCAGGATTTCCAATGTGGTGTATAGAAATATATCCAATATAGAAAAGGTTATGTAAAACACCCTGTAGTCCTGAATTTGAATTAGAAGTATCAGTATGAACTTGAGATATTTTGCTCTGTGTGTGTGTGTGTGCGTGTGTGCGTACATTTCCTAGCAATGTCCATTGAAGAAGCCTACAAACAATGGCCAATCCAGTAGCAATTAGCCATCCTTTAACCCAAACAGATTGTGGTTTTGAAATATGTCTAAGAAAAATTAAGGCTTTTAGAGGGAAATACTTCAAGGCCTGAGGCAGGAAAATCCATGATGAATCTAGAATATATTTTCACATCAGATAGCAAGAAAGCTACTAGGGTCACAAATGATTCAGGAGCCAACTTGAGGAGGCTTCTACTGAACAAAAATAGGATACTTGTAGCTTTATAAAGCATAATCGTTGTAATTGGTCAGAACTCTTTAAATATATTTAAAATCATAGACTCATGATATTTTTTAAAAACCTAATTAACTTGTTTTGGATCATGATAGATACCCAAATCACCATCTATTTTTTTTTTTTTTGAGACGGAGTTTCGCTCTTGTTACCCAGGCTGGAGTGCAATGGCGCGATCTCGGCTCACCGCAACCTCCGCCTCCTGGGTTCAGGCAGTTCTCCTGCCTCAGCCTCCTGAGTAGCTGAGATTACAGGCACGCGCCACCATGCCCAGCTAATTTTTTGTAGTTTTAGTAGAGACGGGGTTTCACCATGTTGACCAGGATGGTCTCGATCTCTTGACCTCATGATCCGCCCGCCGCGGCCTCCCAAAGTGCTGGGATTACAGGCGTGAGCCACCGCGCCCGGCCTCCAAATCACTATCTTAAAACCTGGTAAGAGAGAGAACCAAAGATTCATTTTGTGTTTCCTATATAAAATTGTGCTTGTGGTTACTAGCAGTAAAAACAGTCGTTATAAAAATATTTCAACTTATAGATGTATATAAAAGCATTCCAACTAATACATGGCAAATAAATTATTGAGTTAGAATATTACAATTTTGCAACTCCCAGTAAATTAATGGATGTAGACATTGGTCATCAAAGGCTGCTAATATCAAAAAACGAGTGAAAACCAAACGTTATTTGCCTCCTGATGAATGAACACAGCACCACCTGTGGACTTTTCAAAGGGATTATACCTAAATCCAATAAAGCCTCTGATTCCAGCTGCCAATCTGCAGGTAATACAGAGAACAGAGAAATGTATTGAACTGTACCAAGAGCAAAATCCAGACAGTGGGAAACCACACATCAGAAGTTCCAGTGTCTTAATCTGAAAAAAAATTTAAAGAAAACAAAGAATGGAGGGGATTCCTGAAGATTAAAAGATACTTTAAGGCTGGGCTCTGTGGCTCATGCCTGTAATCCCAGCACTTTGGGAGGCCAAGGTGGGTGGATTACTTGAGGTCAGGAGTTCAAGACCAGCCTGGCCAACATGGTAAAACCCTATTACTACTAAAAATACAAAATTCAGGTGCAGTGGTGCATGCCTGTAATCACAGCCACTTGGGAGGCTGAGGCAAGAGAACTGCTTGAACCCAGGAGGCAGAGGTTGCAGTGAGCTGAGATCACACCACTGCACTACAGCCTAGGCGACAGAGCAAGACCCCATCTCAAAAAAGAAAAAAAAAAAGGCCTAGTGATTACAGACTCTTTAAGGGTAAGTCAAGACAATGAAAAAATTATAAATTCCCTATAATATAAAAACTTCTGCAAATCAATAAGAAATTAAGGTTTAATTCAATTAAAAAAGAAAAAAATAGGCAAAAATTGTCCAGGTGCAGTGGCTCAAGCCTGTCATCCCAGCACTTTGGAAGGTTGAGGAGGGAAGATTGCTTGAGGCCAGGAATTTGAGAGCAGCCTGGGGTACATAGCAAGACTCCATCTCTACAAAAATTTTTTAAAAATTAGCCAGGTGTGGTGATGTGCACCTGTAACCTTAGCTACTTGGGAAGCTGAAGTGGAAGCATCAGTTGAGCCCAGGAGTTCAAGGCTACAGTGATTTATGATGACACCACCGTACTCCAGCAGCCTGGGTATGGGTGGCAAAGCAAGGTCCCACCTCTTAAAAAAAAAAAAAAAGAAAAGAAAAAGAAAGACCAGGAAGTTCACAGTAAAAGATAAGCAAAGGCTCATCAAGTTTAATAATATGGAAAGGTATGGAGAAACACATCCCTTGAAGAATAAATTTGTAACAACTTCTGCAGAGGGCAGTTGAGCTATACCTATCACAATTATAAACCAGCATATCTTTTTCTTGAGACAGGGTCACAGTCTGTCACCCAGGCTAGAGCGCAGCGGCATGATCTCTGCTCACTGCAACTTCCACCTCCTGAGTTCAAGTAATTCTCATGCCTCAGCCTCCCCAGTAGCTGGCATTATAGGTGCACACCACCACGCCCAGCTAATTTTTGTATTTTTAGTAGAGATAGGCGTTTTACTATGTCAGCCACGCTAGTCTCAAACTTCTGGCCTCAAGTGATCTGCCCATCTCAGCTTCCCAAAATGCTAGGATTACAGGTGTGAGCCACCATGCCAGGCCTGACTAGCAATTCCATTACCAGGAATTTATCCTAGAGATCCAGTTACACATGGGTAAAATGACATATATATTCATTTTCATTGTTTTTGTTATCAAAGGGTTAGAAACAACCTAATGTATATCAGTAGGAGGTGGTTTAATAAGATATGTTTATGTAATGCACCCATAAAAAAACAAAAAAGGGACGGGCGTGGTGGCGCGTGCCTGTAGTCCCAGCTATTTGGGAGGCTGAGGCTGGAGGATCTCTCGAGTCCAGGAGTTCTGGGCTGTAGTGCGCTATGCCAGTGAGTGTCCGCACTAAGTTCGGCATCAATATGGTGACCTCCCGGGAGCGGGGGACCACCAGGTTGCCTAAGGAGGGGTGAACCGGGCCAGGTCGGAAATGGAGCAGGTCAAAACTCCCGTGCTGATCAGTAGTGGGATGGCTCCTGTGAATAACCACTGCACTCTAGCCTAGGCAACATAGCAAGACCCCGTCTCTATTAAAAAAAGAAAAAAGAGCCGGGTGCGGTGGCTCAAGCCTGTAATCCCAGCACTTTGGGAGGCCGAGGCGGGTGGATCACAAGGTCAAGAGATCGAGACCATCCTGGTCAACATGGTGAAACCCCGTCTCTACTAAAAATACAAAACATTAGCTGGGCATGGTGGCGCGTGCCTGTAATCCCAGCTGCTAAAGAGATTGAGGCAGGAGAATTGCCTGAACCCAGGAGGCGGAGGTTGTGGTGAGCCGAGATCGCGCCATTGCACTCCAGCCTGGATAACAAGAGCGAAACTCCGTCTCAAAAAAAAAAAAAAAAAAAAAAAAAAAGAAAAAAAAAAAAAAGAAAAGAAATAAGATAAAAAAAAAAAAATAAAACAAAAAACAGAAAAGGACTTTTGCAAATGGACATGGTATCACCTCCAAGATCTATGTTGATTGTTAAAGTGGAAAAAAGCAAAGTAACAAATAGAATATAGATTGCCACCATATTCCTCAAAAGAGAGAAGAAAAAGATAAATTCAACTTATAATGTTTTGTTGACTCTAGAGAGTGGAACTGGGTGACTGGAAGACAGACGTGAAACAGATATATTTCATTATGTGAATATATAAGTAATTCAAAAAAAGAAAATTTAAAGAAAACCAAATGAGGCTGTGTGCGATGGCTCATGCCTGTAATCCCAGCACTGTGGGAGACCGAGGCAGGCAGATCACCTGAGGTAGTGAGTTCAAGACCAGCCTAACCAAAATAGAAACCCCGTTAGTAATAAAAACACCAAGCTTAGCTGGGTGTGGTGGCACATGCCTGTAATCCCAGCTACTCAGGAGGCTGAGGCAGGAGAATCGCTTGAACCCAGGAGGCGGAGATTGTGGTGAGCTGAGATCGTGCCATTGCACTCCAGCCTGGGCAACAAGACCTAAACTCCAACTCAAAAAAAAAAAAAAAAA